TAAAATGTCGAAATTTTAAAAAAATTCAGTTTTATCTAACAATTATTTTTTAAGGCGGGGGACATAACTACATAAGGGCTTTGTTTGTTCCATTTGAGGTGTAGAAACACCTCTAGAAGTTTGACACATTTATCGTGCAACATTCTGTATAAAATAATGATGACATTTCTCCATATTTTAATAGGAAAATTAAAGGAGGATTACTAAACACAACAATTAAGGACCTCGCTTTGTTTATAATTAAAAATGGTTTCTGTAATCCATACTGCGATTTTCATAATTTTTAAAACCAGAGAAAAAAATCTTTTTCAAGTGAAAATATTATTTAATACTACAAAAGATATGAATTAGTTTAGTTTATAAGTATATTACTTAATTATTTTAATGATGTGTATACACATATAAAATATATTTCATGTAAATAAATTACTATTGTAATCTTATAACTTATAAGTTATAAGTATTAATATTTGTATTTGTTTTTATGAATATTGAATATATTATTGAAGTTATGTCGCATTAAGATTATAAACACATTATTTACATAATTTTATATTTAATAGTATACAATTTGATAGGTACTCATCTTTGATATTACAGTATAAACAGAAAAATAATACCTAAAATAAAAACACAACATTTTTCTTTTTATCGTTCATTTTTAGTACGCCCCCTAAATTCATAATACTTTAGATGGCATATAAATTATGTAAAAATCGATTTTTAAATGCTTATAAAAAAAAATTTTAGCTATAAATTTTCAATATTTTTCAACTGATATTGTAACAATATATCAGGTGCTTTGTATTAAATTTGTACACTTTTTGGTCTAGCAGATAAAACTTTATTGATATTTATAGAATAAAAAACTAAAAAAGTTGAAAACTGTATATAAACCGCTCAAAAAGAATCAAAATATTTTCAATATTGTGTATAGGAAATGCTAATACAAACATTCAGTGAAATGATCATGTACCTATCTACAGTTATTCGTTTTTGAATCACAACAAAATAAGGAAATCATTACATGAGAAATCGAGTAAAAATTTGAATTTCAAAAGCTCATAAAAATATAATTTGGCTTTCTTATAGACATTTTAGATTCTGAGTGGAAGGATGAATGTATTGATTTTACAATGATGTGGGTTTTTTTTATTATTTTTTTTTTTTTTTGTGTCTGTGTACACGATAAGTAGTCGAAATAATGCTTCGATTTTCAACTTCAATATCTTGTTCTAAGATAACTGTAAATACATGAAAATTTCACTGAATATTTATATTGGCATTTTCTATACACCCTACCATTTTTAAAAAATATTTTGAGCTGTTTACGGACAATTACAGTTTTCAATATTTTTAGTTTTTTTTGTCTATAAATATCAATAAAGTTTTATCTGTTATGCCAATAAGTGTAAAAATGTAATACAAGGCTCCTGATATGTTGTTACAATATCAGTTGAAAAATATTAAAAATACATAGGCACAATTTTTTTTTATAAGCATTTAAAGATCGAATTTTGACAAAATTTATCAAATTTAAAATTGAATAATTATTTTTTAGTTAAAAATTTATAAAATGTTCAACTTTTATATCTAAGGATTGAAAATTTAAAACAAGATTCCACGTAAGTAGTTAATTCTGTTACCAACAAATCTAAAAAATACATTAGCAAATTTTATTTTTATAGTAATTTTAAGTTCAAATTTGGACGAAATTACATAATAAAAAACCTAGAATAACTATTTTAGTTATTTTGTTGTGATTGTATAATATTATTCGTGGGTACTTGAAACTTCTAAAGTATAATACTATATATCTATGATAGTATCAGGGTTTGTTGTTGGTGTATAACGCTTTATAAGTACCTAATGGATATTGTGATATGATCAGTAGCGTGGTGAACAGTAATTTCAGACCGCTACATGAGAAATAAAGCGAATATCCAATATTGTAAAAATATGAACTTCAAACGCTCATAAAAATTTAATTTGATGTGATTGTAGACATTTTTTTTCTTGATAAAAGTAGAAAATCTTATGAGAAATCTTGTATTACACTTTCAAATCTTAGATTTAAAAATTAATATTTTTATAAATTTTAACTCAAAATAATTTGCTGATTTTCATAATTATTCAATATTTTGTCAATTTTTGAACTTTAAATGATTATAAAAAAAACTGTGACTAATAATTTTTAATATTTTTCATCTGCCTTTTAAACAATATGCTATGAACTTTGTATTAAATTTTCAAGCTTTTTTAACCAACAAATAAAATGTTATTGATATTTCTAGAAAAAAAACTAATAAAAAGTGGAAAATGAAAATGTCCATAAACAGTTCAAAATAAATCGAAATATTTTGAAAATGTTATCGTGTATATAAAATGCAAATATAAACAACCAGTGAAAATTTCTTGTATCTACGGTCATTTGTTTTAAAGTTACACCAAAAACCAAATTCGATTTTGTGACAAATCGATTTTGCGTAAAAATTCACGTTTTTCCTTCATTTTTCTTTTGTTTTTCTTGGCGCTTTTGAAAAGTACTGGGAATTTTAAATTTTGACCTCCCCAATGCACCAACGATATTCACTTTCCAATCAAACAAGATACTGAAGTCGAAAATCGAAGCATTATTTCGACTACTTATCGTGTACACAGACACAAAAAAAATAAAAAAAAAAACAAACACATCATTGTAAAATCAATGCATTCATCGTTCCACTCAGAATCTAAAAAATATGGACGTTGTTGTTGTAATATTGTACTCCTATACTGGATGGACATTATCTCTTCGCCTTCCAAGATAAATAATAATGGATCTAAATCACGTTTATTTACGTATAATGATGTATAATTATAATATTATAATACATTACCTAGTACATGCAATTATAACAAAAACAATACCAACTTGTATTATAATTATAACCGTCAAAATTTTATTTTTAAATTCAACCAAATTAAAATACCATTTTAAAAATTAATGAAAACATTATCGCTGCAGACAATACCGAATATACAATTATCACAAAAATAAAGGGTTTGTGTATATATGTAAGAAACTTTGTATGCGTTTGTATTAAAGGTGTTTAGTTGTTGGGATATATTGTAGGTAAATATTAGGTAGTTATAAATATTATTATTGTTATAATAATATTATTATAAAATTATTTATATTTTAACTATTAACGGCTTTGCATAATGAAATAAATAAACGCATGCTATTATGATTAATCAGGTCAATAACTAAAAATGTGCTCCTAATAGGTACAATGTACATATTATAATTTATAAAATATAATAACTGCAGGCCACAGCTACCTATTTAATCACTGTCTTAAGATTTGAGCCAAAGCCCCCTACTCAAATAAAAACTGTCAAAAATCTGTAATTTGTTGGTACCACGGCCTGTTAAAATAGGTTCGTTGATAACAATTAATTTGTTGCATTCTAAGTTATATTAGTATAATAGTATAATATGTTATGTAATATGTTTTCCGTTAAATAAGTCGAATCGACATCAAAGACACTTGTAATATTAGCTTATATCCAGTGCCCCAACTTGGTATATTATATCGATGGGTGTTCAAGCAAATATCATGGGACCCATGTACCACCAAGTCCTTGGAAAATAACACCGTGTACAGTATACAGTATTATTACATAATATGTGACCGCCGAGCCGGTAAAGTGGGCTGATTATTTTATTTTTTGGCCCTTTTAAAATGCATAAGCCATCTCATAATAACAAAACTAAAAAGCTGGGCAAGTAGATACTGTTCTGCTGTACATTAGGTTGGATCACTGTAATTTATGTATGCAATATTTGTAAGAAACCTTATTTTATATTTCCAATACTTAGCTATAAAAATTGTACATTTTTTTTAACTACAAAATAATTTGAAAATGTTAGTGATTTTAATAAATGTTGTCAACATTTGAACTTTGAAAGGTTATAAAAAATCGGGAGAAAATTTAATATGTCTATAAATAACTCAAAACCAGCCAAATATTTTGAACATTTTAACATGTTTAGAAACTACTAATATAAAATATATTTAGTGAAAATATCAAGAATTTATTCGTTATTCGTTTTTTAATTACAAAATACTAATGCATATTATACCTACGCATAAAACAGATTTGTTGATGATCATTAAATTTTTTTTAAATGAGTCATTTTGATATATATAATATCAATTATTTTATTTCTAAAATGAGTTATTCAATTTTGTTTAACATGTAGATGCTAGATACATTTTTGCCCGGGATGAAAGCGACGAACAAAGGACATTTAGTCTTCTTATCGTCAATGGTTGGTATAATTGCCTTGAAGAACTTAGTGCCTTACTGTGAGTCCAAATTCGCAGTGAGAGGTTAGTGGTTGTCAGTTCGCAACAAACAGTTAATAATAATATGTGGTCATCAGTGCTCGAATTGGAAAAATAAAAGAAAGGGGACTCTTAGACTTGAAAAAAATTAGCGTTCCTTGTGATTAAACTCAATCTAGCTCGTGGGGGGCTTTGCCTCCCCCCCAACCTTCTATCTTCAATTACAATAAATATAACTTTACTTGTCATTTATTGACATAAAAAGTAAAAACTAATGTTTACTTAAAAGTTAAAAGTATATTCTAACATTTCTAACTGATTAGGTAATTAATTATAAATAATAATGTAAATAATTGAAGCGGACACAGTGATTGTTTCAAGGTTGATCGTGGTCCGGTCGAAGAGGTTTGGTTAGGATTGAGGTGATGAAAAAACACAACACAAACACTTTAAGAATGTCACAAATTATGTATTATAATATTACGACCAAAACATAATAATACATGACGTGCCTCTCGGGCAAATAAGTTTAACGTCGGACGATACGTTTTCGGTCCGACGGTCCGATGATGGATCTCGATCGTCTTTTCCGCCGACCGTTGTACGACACAGTCCCCCAGAGACGATGGCTTCACAAATATCCATTTCACCTCTATTTTCACGTATATGGTGGACACCGGTCTGTGCAAAAAACCTGTAATTCGGTAAGTTCGGGTGATGCAACGCATCACATTATATACCTGCAACTGTGTGGAGTTTGTAGACGTTTACTAATAAAACAATTTTAAATAGTTTTCCCAGCTTTTTACCACTAGTAACGGCAGAGTCGACGGCAAAAGAAATAATAACCACCGTTAGAAAGAACTTATTTGAACTTTCCATTCCGAGATCATTGCTCACATTCAATAACATATTTAGGTGAATTAAAATTATTTTATACAATGTCTAACGGCAGTTGTTTACTAAAATACACATTGTGGTTTATTGTTCTTACTTGTTTTAGGTGTTATCCGTACAAAATGGCATTGGACTTTAAAGATTTTATGGGCAGTGGCGTTGATGTACACGATGTTAAATTATCATTCAACAAGGTAGCATGAAAATAATACTTCCGAAATAAACATATTCATCTTATCCTATACAGTTTGTAAATTTTATTATAGCCATATAATTATATAAAGTCATATAAAGTCAAATGAATTTTTTATGAGCGTTTTATGTCGAATTATCTTCAAACAATTTTCTTTTATTCACTATATTGTTATGTAGTTAAAAAACAAATATCCATAAAATGGATACTTCAATACTTGAAATGTTCACCAGATGTGTGTTATTATAGTATCATACTATCATATATAAAATTGTAGCATAATAAAGGTATCTACTGAATTTATAAAATTAATGATATTATTATTACTATCTATCTAAATATATTCAAGAAAAGTAAGTATTTAAAAGCTAAATAACAGCCTTCTCTTACTAATAAAAACTAAATAATTAATTTAATTATGGCCTATTGTGACTTACTAACAATTCGGGCCAAAAAAAAAATCAAATATTCTAAAAAATATATAAAAATCTATGGATTATGCCAGTAATTTAGTAATCAAAGTGACTAAAAAATTTCAGTAATTTGCATAACTGCATTAGCAGTCGTGTCTATCAACGTGTAAATCCAGACGACATAACTGAGAGAAAACATAACATATGAACATAATGAGAGAGAAAAAACATGTTTTGGGCTATATGTTTTAGGGTATCCGGCCAAAATAGCGAAACAATTACCGCGAATGTAAAAATCGCGAATTGATAATAGCGAAAATAAAAATAGCGAATTGCAAAAAAAAGCGAAAATACATAATAGCGAAAATCAAATATATTTATTACAATAAAAAATAGATAAAAATAGTTTATAAATGAGATTAAATTACATTCATTATAATTATAATATCGTTAAGTTCTAATAATAAGTATTTATAGTATTAATAATAATAATTTTAAATAAAATAGGTAATTATATTCAATTTAAATATAATTATATCTAGGCATTCAGTGACAAATTATATGCTACACCTTTTATGAAGTTCTTATTCTCATTAGTATTATAATTTGTAACTAATGCATGAATTCTTTTATTACAGTCCTTGTACTTTTTTTTTTTCCGTGGTTGTTCTCCAGCTATATATTGCTCTCGTTTTAATTCTTCTATATTTTGAACTTTCTTAATTCCATCTATGAATTTCCATATATTAGGGTGGCTTGCTCCTAAAGAATATTTATTCTATTACTAAAGATACTAATTATTAATAAAATAATACGAACCAATAACAGATGTAAATCCTCTGTGCCATCCTTCAACAGCGTTGTTTGTTGTTGGAAGACCATTTTTGGCTGAATAGTGACAATTCCAAATATGAATAGGATGTCTTGGCTGTCGTCGAGTTTTTCGTCTTCCTGTTATTTTTCCTACCCAGTTATCCTCGAAATAATCCAAGAATGGCATTACCAGGTCTTCATTTTCAACATAAAATTGTGTTTCTAAAATTTCTTCGTATGCATTAATAACGTTATCTGGTGGAACATAGGCCAAAGCAGCTAGCATACGAATATGAAGAGCAAAGTTAGCATTATTAATATAATTTTCGACTAGACCAACATTTTGAATTTGTCGCCACATACATTTAGAAAAATGAAAAAAACAACCTTGTTGTTCAGCATGTGGAAAAACAGTTTTGAATGCATTGATTGAGGCATTTTCAAAATCCATTATTACCGATGTAGGATTTAAAGATGGTTTTATTTCTAATAAATATTTAAGAAAACGCGTATATGTTGATTGGGATTTATCGGTTAATAATGCATAAATGGTAGGACTAACTGTTTGGTCACCTTGTTGAATAAGTACATGAATAGTGAATAACTGATAAAAAAGTGAAGGTACCGTTTTAAAAGTTCCATCGACTAACCAATTAGCTGATTGATCCATTAATTTTAAATTATTTTCGGTCGAAAATATTAAAATTCGATCTTGTGATGCTCCACTGTCAAATATTAAAAATTGTTCTCCTTTCATCGTTTTACTATACTCATCAGCAATTTTAAGGTCACTCACGGTCTTCGGAATAGGTGGTGCGCATTGGTTACGTGTCCGAACTCTTCGTATAGTGTGTTTTAAATGATGAACTGATGGCATTTCACCGGCTACTCCAGGTACTATTTGAACAGTACTGATTATATCATGTGGAGTATTTTGTGTATGAACAGCCGCTTCTTTTATCTTATTCACAGCCATTTTGCGTTGGATTTTACATGGATCGGGAACATGATTATGGGAGTTATCCTTAGGTTGACTTTTAATTTCTCCGTTTATCGTAATAATTCTACCTTTACATGAACTTTCAACGCAACGCCAATATATTGTGTTATTTTGTTTTCTATCTTCACGATGCAAAAAGCCACTATACAATAATAAATCCTTATTTTTATTACTTTTTACAAATTCCATTGAAAATAATATTAATATATTTTTTCACTGCACACTATTTTTTTAACGAACGAAAATATTAAGTTAAATACCTAGTACAAGCTACACACGTTTACGCACTATCGAACTATACAACTGTATTAAATTGTGTCAGCTCAAATATAATACGATTGACAATCTTATCTCGGTATATTTCCAATTTCAAAATAGTCATAATAGTAACTAAGATAGCACATTGACGATAACCCGATACGTCCGTGGTTAGGTAGTGGGTATGTATTAATTGCGCCAGAAATTACAGGTAAAAATAAGTTTTATCAAGTATTTAAGTTTTAGTAAAAGTTTTAGTTTTATTATATATTTTATAGTATTTGAAAAAGAAATTATAAAAATCTGCAGTTTCGCTATTATGCATAATCGCTTTTTTAAAAAATCGCTATTTTTATTTTCGCTATTATCAATTCGCGATTTTTACATTCGCGGTTAATTGTTTCGCTATTTTGGCCTAGACCCATGTTTTAGCACGCTGTACTTCTGTAGACGAACAATATTCGATATTGAAAATATTATTGACCGATTTGACCGTATAAGTTATATTGAAAATATCAAAACCGTTTTGATATTTCTTGACGGGTTTTTACTTTTTATTGATATGTGCGAACTCGTTTTTGTTCAATAATGGCACTCAAGCTTAACGAAACAGAGACGGTGGTAACCAGGGTCGCAAGCAGTGTTGAGATTATCTAGATAAATTTATCTAGATAAATTATCTAGATAATAAATTACTTTATTTTATCTTATCTAGATAAATATTTTCTAAGTTATCTAATGCTTATCTGAGATAAAATAAAAACGTATCTAGATAAATTTATCTAAGATAAACATTTGATCAAAACTCAAAAGCTTAAACATCCGTGAACAGTATTTTGAACTGTCATGTAATAATTTTAATTAATAAAACTATTCTGGAAGAGCGTTCTTTTGATAGAATTCATAACAGTTATAATAAAATTTAAAGAAAAAAACATTTTATAAATAAATGAGAATATTTCAACGAAATGTCTAAATATAGATTTTATTGACAACGCTGTGCGCTGCGCCGCCCGTATGTCAATTGTACTATGCGACGGTGGTGGCGGCCAGAGTTGACGGCGGCCAGCGTTCGGGAAAGTTTAGTGATGGGAATGCGCGAGATCGGACGATCTACAGCCCGACGAAACCGCCTCAATGATCATACTTTTGAGATGTTGTAATGAAACGCCATTGGTTGTTAATTCTCGTATTTTATTTATTTGAAACCAATGTGCTCATTATCTGAGTTTATACAATATGTATTAATTTTGTAACAGTATTTTCTTTTATATTGTATTAAAGTTTACTCCGGAGAGTGTACAGTAAAAATAGTTTATTTGGGGACTTACATATAAAGGGGGGGGGGCAGTTTACATTCAACTCACGACTTGGTGGAGTTTGATCTGATCCGTGTGTGGTGTATTCGTATTCGATATCAGACACTGTAATGGGTCCTTGGACAGCTTCACTGACAGCAATGTGCGCGGAGGTGATGCTCTGCAATATGGTTGTCGGCGGGATAGGAAAAACTCGAAATACTCGACCGACACGACAAACCAAAATTGCACAAGTTGATTGAACTGCACACTCTACTCGAACGGCGGTGATACAGTTCCAAACGACTGGCGGTGGACTACGGGTGTACGTCGTCTCACGGCACGAGACACTAGTTGGTACGCGGCAGCACGGCTCTGACGGCGGCGGCTCGACGTAATAACCGTGTTATCACAAGTAACACGAGGGACAGCAGATGATACGCGGCAGCACGGCTCGGACGGCGGCGGCTCGACGTAATAACCGATTGTTATTATAATACGAGGGATGGCGGCTGGTCCGCGGCAGCACGGCTCGGACGGCGGCGGCTCGACGTAATAACCGATCGTTACTGGGGTGTGCCGGGGCAGACTATATATTGCATCCGTGTCTAACGAGTTCAAAACTCGTCCGGCTTACAATAAGTCGCAGGGCGTATGCTGGTTTGTCGAATGCTTAGTGTCCGTGTCTAACGAGTGGTGTGCTCGTCCGGCTCACTAATGCATTCGACACAGCGGGGAAGTGGTGCTCTGGACAGCGTTTTCGAGGTCTATATATGCTATTCTCTGATTATCGATGGTGTGTAAAATGTATGAAACGCTTTTGCGGATTTCAATGTTTTCTTGGCAGCTTAAAATACATTAAAAATATCCATCATGTAGCGTAGGTTCTGTAGAATTTTATAGTATTATGAACATGGTTTTAAGTTGCGGGGTTTTTCATGAATAACGAGTTTCCCCGGGGCCGCCGTATCGTCTGTATTGGCATGGCGATGTGGGCTCCGCCTGTCGGACGTCGAGTACGGTGGTCATGATGTTCTGGGCATGTTTGTAGCGCGAGAGCGCGTGTTGGTCGGCGGGCGGATTGTTTGGTGACGGGACACAGATCGCGCCACTTATATAGGTACCGCGGTTTTGTTCCGTTACAATGTTGTTATGTTGCCGTTCAAATAATCGATATTAATATATTATTTTCGAATATAATTACATAACTACATAAGTCTTGTTAACA